ATGTAAAAGCATGTCCCGCCGCCGCGCGATTTCCCCGTTGATTCTGCGTCGCGATCTGCTCTAAACAGCTGAAAGCCCGGGAGACTCAGCGCGCTGTCCGGAATGGCGTCTTTCAGCCAGGTTTCCGTGGAACACAGAGCAGCAGAGTGTGAGAAATCCTTATTCGTCCGGGAGAGCAGAAGGAGTTTGTACGTTTTGTTGGGTAGAGAGCGGAGATTTGCCAGATGGATGCTAGGCAAAATCCGCGCTGCCTGAGCTTCCCGAGGGTGCTGGCTCGCTTCCCCCGTCTGCGCGGCCTGAAGCGTCTGAACAGCGCCGCTGCTCCCCCGACTACAATGTCCAGCAAAACATCAGAATAATCGAAAACCGGTGAATCAGGAGGATATATTTCAGAGATATAAAAAAAATAATCTCGGGTAAGTGTATATTTCCTTACCTCTCAGGCAGAGTCACATAGGTGGTAGTATGTTTCCAATACATTCTTGTTCTCTCTCAACAATGCTCTAACATCAATTGCAGATGGCAACGCAATCTTGTTAACCTGCGTTCTATCTGCACCTCTTCTATTGCACCCCTCTCTTTTTCTGTGGGTCTGTGTGTTCTGACATGCCAAGATGTGGAGATGCTGCAGCTTTATATGCCCCTGGGATGTTAGGAATTGTCAGTCAGCTTTCAAAAAACAGACTTCATTCTGGCCATTGCTTCTTAGTCTACTCTTAGTATCTTGGGCTTGACTGAGACCTGGATTCATCCAGAAGACTCAGAAACTAACAACTTCCCTTTCTTTCACACCCCCCATCAGGTTGGAAGGGTATTGGTTTTCTCATTTCTACTAAATGGAAATATTCAACCCACTCTTCCCTATGCAAAAATAATTATTTTGAATTTCATGCTATTACGGTAACAGCTCTGGTTAAACTTCATATTGTAGTAATTTATAGCCTTCCTGGTCAACTGGTTACCTTTACAGAGGAGCTGGATGGGCTGCTGTCCTCATTCTCTGGGAATGGCTGTCCACTTATAGGCTTTGGTGACATCAACATCCATCTGGAGAAGCCTTACACTGCAGACTTCCGCTTCCTAACTTCCACTTCCACTCCTAGCTTCATTCGATCTCAAACTGCTTACCACCAGAAGCACTAAAAAAAGCAGGCAACCAGCTCGGCTTAATTTACACACACAATTGTATCACAGACAATATTTTGGTAAAACCTCTAGACATCTCTGATAATTTCTTTATTACATTTAACCTACATATTTCTACCTGTGTGCCACGATTCCTCTACCAGTTACTTTCAGGCAAATCCTATGCTCCCTTTCACCCTTCCATCTGTCCTGTGTAGTGTCATCCTCTCTTCCTTCATCCACCCATTTCTCATCTCTGGATGTAAATGCAGCAACTGACACTTTATGATCTACTTTAACTTCTTTTCTAGACAATATCTGTCTAGACAAGCCAGTGCATACTACCCCTTCTAATGTAAAAAGTTGTCCCATGTCATCACCTTTACTCTATTTTGCTGAGCAGTCGTTTGGGTGGTTCGCCAATGGGGCAGTCGTAGTAGGGCTGAGCAAATAATCGAATGCGATTATCATGCGCATCTCGTCAGTAAAGCCAGTTCTGTCATTATTAGTAAATCTCCATCACCTGCTTTCAAATGGAGCACCATTTACTACACAGAGCCGTAGTTCATTGACAAGCTACGTAATATCGCATTCATAATGAAATGCGATTCATCTGTGATTATGAACGCGATATGAACTACGGCTCTGTGTAGTAAATGCCGCTCCATTTGAAAGCAGGGGGTGGAGATTTACTACTAATCACAGAACTGGCTTTACTGACGAGATGTGCAGCCATAAGCCGTAGCCCTTGGGGCAGTCGTGGCCTAATGGAGAGTTGGTCTTGTAACCTGAAGTTCGCGGGTTCGAGTCTCGGGTCCGGCAGGAATTGTCGGTGGGGGGAGGGAATAACCAGCACTCTCTTCCACCTTCAGTACCACGACTGAGGTGAAACCCCCAACTGCTCCCCGGGCGCCACAGCAGTATGGCTGCCCACTGCTCCGGGTGTGTGTTCACTACTGTGTCTGTGCATTTTTCCTTGGGTTAAATGCAGAGCACAAATTCTGAGTATGGGTCACCATACTTGGCCACATGTCATGTCCTTTCCTTTCCTTTTCCAATGTACTAGATTTCTCTAATAAAAAAAATGAAGTAGGCTTTCCCAAAATTTTTGTGGGGTGAAGAATTTATTGAAGATGGTAGTGTAGCAGTTCTTCAGTAGTGATGTTAGCATGTCATCCTACAAACAGTCTTAAACCTTGCAAGAATCTTAGCTTCTCCCAAAGTTCTGTCTGTGGAATATAATTTTATACCTAAAGACAAAAGGGCTACAAACAACAGATACTGTTAGGACCTCCTGCTGGAGATCCTGCAATCTACAAGATGTTCCTGAGGAATGCTGTTCCTTTGTTATTCTAATGGATTGGATCATTTGGTTCACACCTTTATAGACAGTTAAATTATTTATTTCACAGAATGATGAACGTTGACCAATCAGGTTTCAGAAGCAGCCATTCAACTGAGACTGCTTTACTCTCAGTCACTATAGCCCTGCAGATTGCGAAAGCTGATTCCAAATCATCAGTTCTCATTCTGCTGGATCTATCTGCCACTTTTGACACTGTAAATCATCAGATTCTCCTGTCTACCATCACAGGAACTGCACTCCACTGGTTTGAATCTTATCTCACAGGTAGGTCTTTCAGGGTTTCCTGGGGAGGAGAGCTATCCAAAGAACATCAACTGGTCACTGGGGTTCCTCAGGGATCAATTCTTGGACCCCTCCTCTTCACCATATACACTACATGACTTGGTTTCTCCTGCCATTGCTATGCTGATGACACACAGCTCTATCTTTCCTTTTAACCAGATGATTCAACGGTAGCTGAATAGATCTCAGGCTGCCTGGCAAACATCTCGGCATGGATCAAGGATCATCACCTGCAGCTAAACCTTTCAAAGACTGAGCTTCTCGTCTTCCCTGCCACTCCGACTCTACAGCATGACTTCACCATCCAGCAGGTTACAAATGATTCAGAATGCAGCAGCATTGACTGGTCTTCAACGAGCCTAAAAGGGCCCATGTCACACCTCTTGTTATCTCCCTCCACTGGCTACTGGTTGCAGCTCACATTAAGTTCAAGACATTGATGCTTGCATACAGAACAGCCACAGGCTCAGCACCCGCCTACTTCCACTCACTATTAC